TGGGGATTAATATGGTGATCTTTCTTTGGGGATTTGATTCATATTGACGGGATTATAATTGATGGGGAAACCAACCGTACTTACTTATATTGCTGCTATATATTGCCTAAAAATTGACGTTCAATGGAAGGGAACCAGAAACCATTGTTTTTGCTGGCAAAATATTTTTGGGTATCCTGCAGCCCTTAAACCGCCTATGATGGGAACAACCCGTGTCGAACCACGCCATGTTGAGGGGCACACTGCATGACCGGCAGGAGATGTAGCCTGAGTCGTCAATGCTTCCCATGTGAGCAGCAAAAGCCTGGCTTACTAGTGAAATCTGGTGAAGATATGGTGAAGATAAACTGGTTGGTGGTTTCAACCCCTCTGAAAAATATTAGTCACTGTTTCGCTGTTTCGCCAGAAGTCAGCACGACGACCTGGCAGGCCCATATATTATGGAAAATAAAAGCAATGTTAAAAACCACCAACCAGTAAACATCTTAGTGGACAAATGGATGTTCATCATTGTTCATCCTTCCATTGGGAAGTCGTTGGTTTGACCCGAGTTTCAACTCTGTTTCCATGGCCCATCTAAGTGATCCCAAAAATATTTTGTGGTTCACTGCCAAAAATCATCAGTCCATCTATATATTATATATCATCTATGTCCATCTCTTGTTTTCTGTGCCTTTTGTTTTTTGACCCCTATTCACCCTATTCAATCACCTGAAATATGGCCCATAGGTCTCGGACCAAATGCTGCGCCAAGGTCTTTTCGAACTTGGGCTCCCTCAGTGGCAAACTTTAGGCTTTATTTGAGTGAGCAAACTACGTAGATATATTTCACATCATTCTGCACAAATTCTTCAATCAGCACTCAAAGTTAGATAGTCCCCAAGCCCCAAGTTTGATGCTCTTCGTTGAAATTCTTGTCATAGCATGGACTTCGCCATGGTTTTCATGCATTTGTTCTCATTCAAATGACAACTGAGCGTTGAAGCCCGCTATGATGTGCGAGTAAGCAAAAAAAAAACATACTGCAAAAAATGCAAAGACTTGTCTCGTGCAACGCGATGCATCAACGCTCCTTAGATTGCTAACTGCATCTCTCATAAAGAGTCTTAGTCTTAGAGACGCCCTTGCAATTCCCTCACACTTTTTGGCAGCATCATGACATGCAATCTCTTCCCCCTATATACTTGCAAAACACCATCAGAAACCCTGGTTGAGTAGAGTACTTATATCATTTTATATCTATTTATTCTGGTCTTCCAAAGTGGCGAGTGAAGAATCCCGGAGCATCCGATTCCGCGGCTCCGGACAAAGCTGGGTGCTTTCTCACAATGTGTGTAGCCACTTCCTCTTTGAAGCCATTCTGAAGCCTGGCCTGCCATTCTGTGAAGCCGGAATCGATACGGATCCATAAGGATCCATTGGGTGGGGCTCACATTTTTTTTGTCCCTGGATCATCAAATCAGGTATAGATGGAATGATCATATACCCATGATAATACCTAATATATCTAATATATATATATATTATATATATATTATATATATATATATATCCTGATACCATCCTTCAGCCCACCTCAGGATAGGAGGCCAAAGGCTCGGTGGAGCAGCAGTTTTGCCTCGCAAAAGCCCACAACATCCAAAACACGTTGAAAACCAAGTCATGTTTATCTATGTTTATCCACACCACACAATACATGGAATACTTATGACTACTTTGGATATTGAAAATATATGACATACCCTCTGGTAAACTAACATAGCTATTGGAAATCACCATTTTTAATGGGAAAATCCACTCTAAATGGCCATTTTCAATAGCTATGTTAAATTACCAAAGGGTATTCTTCTGCAGCATCCTGCAGCATCCTGTTTAGCCAAAGGAACTACCGTGTGGCGAATAAAAACTTTGAACGAACGAAGTGTCACTGATTCCTGTTTGAAATGGGTTTGTCTGAAAATAGGGTATACCCCCAATGAAATAGCCCTTTAATAGGGATAATGATCAGCAAAACCATTGGGTACAATGGGGTACACTATATTCAGACACACCCAAATCACAGCAGTGATTCCCTTTTCCTGCACAGCCCAAGACTCTCTCAGCCATGGGACAATTGCTCACCAGCACAGGGTGCAATGCCCATCGCCTCATCCGATCCTCCCCCCGATCCCTGAGAGAAACAGTGATGGATTCTGTGTGACCTTGCAACAGACTTTCAAGAACTTGAAACTGGAAATAGCTGGAAGGTGCTTGTAGCTGGAACTGTGGTCGAGCGGTGTGTAAACAAATGTAAACAGATGTAAACAGATGTAAACAGGAAACCTGCTGAAGGGATATTGATATATCTTGGTGACGGTCTTTTGGAAACATGGAAAAGTGTGGTTCTTTGTGTCTGTGACGGCTTTTGACCTACAAGCTGCCCAAGTTGCCTGTGAGCCAAAGATACAAAATCAGGACGGGATAGCATATCACAGCAGAAATGCTGTGCAGAAGTACCATCAAACATGCAAAATCAGTTTTATATCACTGAAAGAATAATCCTTTTGAAAAGAATCTTAAAGATCTACAATGTATATGTTCTCATACATTATATATAATACGTATGTGTAACATATATTAAAGTTTTGGTGGCAGACTTGGCTCTCTGATATCTACTAGTACCCCCAAAAAAGTTCACACTTACTCACCCAGAACCATCACCAGCACCTGATGCAGCACCAAGTACACAGCGGTGGGCCGCTACTCTGTAAGTGCCTGTGGATTGCTGTACCTCCACAGATTGGGGATTCATGTGGATTCATTGGATTGGTTTGAGGGGACATCTACTAGAAAATCACTAGAGGAAACGTGATTTTCGACATTTCTACATCTTGTTTTACGTCCAAATCTAGGATAATCTAGGCTCTTCGGCATATGTTCCCATGATATCCATGATCCAATTGTCAACTGGGGATATAAAAACATGTCTTAACTGGTTGGATCATTGGATCATTTTTAGCGCCCGCAGGATGACTCGCAGGATGACTCAAAAACGCCTCCAACTCCATGTCCGCAAAGGCCGTCGGTTCTGCCATGGGTAAGTACCTGGGCCATGGAAGGGTGGTACACATCATCTGGCTTTGTCTGAACATGTGGTATACATTGGTACCCATGTATACCCGGCAATTTATAGCCATTACATGCCATTACAATGAATAACATGAATGAACATGCTGATTAACATATTGACTAACTCAAGTTTTGCATGAATTTGAGCTGTACCCCAGTATTTTGGGCAAACCCACAACCCATCTTTGGAAGGCCATGGCCACTAACAGAGGTGCTCACCGTGAGAAGTCCATCCATGATCGTTTCACCTCCGGTGTCTCGGTCACTGGACAAGTTTGCCAGTTCGCCCAATTTTGGGGGATAAGTAAGGACATAGCAGGAAACATTAATTTGATAACCATATTACAATGGATACTACATAATGGATTAATAGATATTAATAATTAATAGATCATGGGAATCATCATATTGGGAATCTGATGATGCACCTTTGGAGTTTTGGAGTTTGCGTTTGGGGGTTCCAAATCTTGAAACACGGCCTTTTTATCAAGTCACCAGGCACTCTCTGGCCTCCATCTCTGGAAAATCAGCTGTAGGGCAGGACACACCCACCTACAGCACTGGCATGTCCGTGATCGTTCACAGCAAAATGAAACATCCATCATGAATAATGTGTCCTTCATCGTTCTCATGCCAGCAGCATCTTGCAAAGCCCATGTGTATATATATATATAACGCATATCACTTTGTTCGTTGATCATTACTTTCCCTGAAAACCATGCATTTTCTTGGTGGTTAAAGCCCAATTTTCAGACACAACCAAATATGTTTGGTCCCATTATCTATATATATATTGATCAAATTCCATATTACATTATAATCCCATCACGTTCCACTAAATTCCATGAAGAATTGCCATAAATTGAGCGAAATTCCAGCCATCATTCCATGTGAGGCTTTCTAAGAGCACCTCCTCGAGTTTCTCAAGAAGAACCTGCGAACTGCTGATCGAATCTGGTGAAAACGGCCGTTTTGAGTGGGAAAACTTAAGGAGAACCATCAGAATCACCATCATCATCCATCATCTAAATTCCGGTAAGTGGATCCACGGAAAACCATGGAATACGTTGGTGCATGGCTACTAATATGGCCACCATGGCCAGGTGAGATGACTGCAACCTGCAGTTTTTTTTTGAGGTCCCTCCATTGGTCCATGGCTTCGGGGATTTCCCAGCCATGATAGATTTAGTGGGTAAAATGAAGGTGTAGCTATTTGCTGATGATAGCTGTTCTTCCAATGGATGAATTTGGATGATAGCAACATTGAAAACTTGCCGAGTTCTATCTCAAGGTCGACTCGAGGAGTGTTTTCTGCTGTGCCTCCAAAGCACTCGTCCTTCCATTCCGAAAAAGTATCTCACCGGCATGGGACCTGTGGCGTTACGTTCTCTTCCAGGTCCAAGTTGCATCGAAGTCACAAAATCATCAGTTCAAAATGACGTTAGCAAGTGACAAACTTACCCTCTGGTAATTTAACAAAAAGCTATTGAAAATGGCAATTTATAGTGAGTTTTCCCATTGAAAATGGTGATTTTCCATAGCTATGTTAGTTTACCAGAGGGTACATGTTTCATGAGTTTCATGAGCTGCGGCAGGAAATGGCATCGTCCCCCCAATTCAATGTGAGATGTCTGGTGCTGAATCTCAACGCCCAAGGCATCAGCGCAACATAGCGCATCACCCAGAAGTTCCTTCTGGCCTCAATCGTTGAGGATCTTCAACGGGCACATCCACGGATGGCCATCAAGATGGGTCTCAATGATTTTTTCAGCCAGGACCATATCCCCCAACATCATTCCATGGTTTACGGTTTCTGCTTTCTCTCCCATGACATACCAATAAAAATACGGTATATCAATGGTATATCCTGTTTTCAGACAAACCCTAATCGTTCAGTGCAGATGATCCGAGGGTCGCACAGCTGCACAATGCAGAAAGGTGTCCGAGTCGGCATTCGCTCTGTTCCAGTAGGCCTGAAGATCATGCTGTCAACCCAACAACAAGAAGAAATCTCCCATTTTCCATGGTTCATAACTACTATTTGAACATATATATATGTTATTACAACTTAATATATAACTAAGTTTCGGCAAAATTGGGGATCGTTTATTATATACTTCATCTGACGGAAGGATTGGAAGAAATGGGCAACTAAACTGAAGTCAAACTTGCGTTCAGTCAATGTTATAAGCCAGCTTCAAACACAAACAAGACTTCCGTTCCGTACTTGACCCCAAGATGAACGTGCTTCACCAGTCGCGGGTTGCTACAGCAATAGCTGCAGTCCATGTCACGCCTGAAATGAATTGGTATCCACCTGGCCCATGCCTCAAATGTTGCAAGCTTTGGGAATGCAGACTAAAACCTCTGCCCGGCACACATCCCTGAACTGCGATCTAGATACAAGAAAAATAGATCAACAATCAACAATGATCAACGTGTAACATGTCTTTTACTCAACATAGCTTAAGCACTTAACATCACTTAACCATACTATACATTACTATACCATACTTAACAGTATTTAACCAATGTAATCAAGGACTTGCATGAACTCCTCTCTGGTAGACGTCTGCAAAAGCCATCAGCGCCGAACCCAGAAAGAGCACTTCAAAGAGTTCAGCCACTGGGGCCTGGCAATGCCGAGGATGACATGCGAGGATGCCAGTGTGGCATCCTCGTTGAATCAACATGTCAGTGCACTAATCCAATCCATAATTATATATATATGATACTATACGGTAACTACATCTAGTATACTGATTTTTAAATATACGAACTGGTATCTTAGACTGCCTCCAGTCCATGGCCCGCCCCGCCATTTAAACATACGGATTCCAATCTATCTAACTATACGTTCAAATATACAGATGGAACTGGTGTTTCATACCACCTCCGGGGCCTTGTGGTCTGGCCCGCCCTCCACATATTCAAATGTCGATAATGTATAAATAGTTATAAATATGATAATATTACTATTACAAATTACTATATGTACTGTAACGTCAAGGCCCATGGAACATCAACCCACCGGCTCGCACTCCCAACAGAAACAGGGCTGGCCGAGAAGTACTGGAAGTAGACACCTTGCTGTCTTCGAGGCATCATAGACTGAAGAAAGGCAGCCACAGACTTGAAGATTGTCATGGCAGAGATTGTTTTCAATAGGGAGATGCAAGCTCCATTCGCCGGCCTTAAAGCCTTATTTTTTGCACCGACAACTTCCATATCTTCCATAGATCGGGATACACCGTCTCAGGTACAAACACAGGTGGAGCAAGGTGTCTTTCCTCCTCTGATGGACCTCTAGTCTCAGGCAGGATCAATTGAGGTAAGTGGTAACTCTGATCACCATTGGATCCCGATCCTTTCCTGGAGTTCCTGATGGTTCCTGAATTCATCGCAATACTCTTTCTGCAATTTGTCACTAAAAACGCATGCTGCATGCAAATTTGGGAAGTACGTCACGTTTCGATACTTTTCACTTTTCACATTATTCACGTTATTAGTGTATATACATTCAACTCGTCACTGAAAAGGTCCACGAAGACTTTCGACTCGACTGAGGAATGATTATGCACCAATCTTCAACTTCCAAATCTTGGTCCGTGGAAGTGCTTCCAAAGAAAAACGATCATGCATGTGATGACAATATTAAATGACCTATACATATCTATACATATCATTCAATATCCAGAATCTCCCCAGAGCTTCTCTTTGCAAATCCTCAGAATTTAGGACTGACGCGCCTCCCAGAGGTCAATGCCCTGCGCACTTCCGGGTGGAAAGTGATGGAGCAAAAACATGGCCACCTGCCCGGAGTCAAATAGTCAAAGGATCCGAATGCTTATGGCATCTTATCCCATAGGATCCATGTATGGTATATATGCTAACATTGGGGATATATTGATGGTAAATGTTACCATATATAGCATACATGGATCCTATGGGTATGGCTTTGTGTCTCCTTTTTTTTGGAGGAAACACACATTCCCCGACATGTCCGATGCAAAATTATGTAAAATTGCCATGATTTCTTCGAGGTGCTAGCCATCCACAGCCATCCAGTCCGTCCCATGTAACATGGGATGAATGGGGGTCATCCATGACTGTGGTTATATGCTGTTGGTCACATGTTATCCCGCTCTTCATGGTGGTATGACCATAGTATATCATAGTATGACCATCCCCTTGGAGAGTTTTTCTTTTTTAATCTGTTTACCAACACTTGGATGACCATGGCACATATGGTGAATATGCTGCGATCAAAATCATGGAGCAGATTGCAGGTTGTACAGGCCGCCTGCTGCTGCTGGTATGCCAGGGCGTTCCTTTATTGCGCACATCTTCTGACTGTCACTGACAGCGGTTTTGTATAACTCATATAGATTAGTGACAGTGATCCAAGAACGCAGCGGTCAAAGCTTAGCAAATTCTGAGGGAATCTAACAACTACTGCACAAAGGCCTGGCATTGTCAGACTTTCAAACCTGTTGACCATTTCAACAGCCTCGCTGCTTTGGTTGAGAAAACTTTATCAAGTTTATCAAGTGATTCTGAATTCTTTGACTAGCATAATTCACATCCATGACATATATATATATTATATATATTATATTTATATATACATACATTAATATAATCATATGAGTAGCGGACAAAATTATTTGTTCTCCGTAATTGCCACGAGCAAAACTGGGTCGTCCTCTATCGGTTGTGAAGATTTTATATTATAAATAATGTAGTGATATCCCATCCGCCGGCGGATTATAGGACAAGTGGCCAAAAAATGCTGTGGCCGTTCATGTCGCAAAGGCGACCGCTCTGAAGCCGCCCTTTGCGAAACCGTCGCATTGCGAAAGGTGAGGATTGCGGGATTGTCATTGGATGTCATTGGATATACCCTCTGGTAAACTAACATAGCTATTGGAAATGGCGATAGAAATAGTGGATTTTCCCATTAAAAATGGTGATTTTCCAGTTCGCTATGTTAAACCACCAGAGGGTAGTTTCTATAGAATCTATGATCCAAATGATCCCATGATCACGATTGAGGTTTTTACTTTGTAAGATCATTATCACTATCTATATCTTTATATTATATTTAGGGGATTTTAGGGGATTGTATTTGAAACTGATATTGTAAAATGATTTAAAATTCAAAATGAATCAAACTGATGCATGATGCATTCCAAATAGGGGATTTTAGGGGATTGTATTTGAAAAATATATTATCAAAATTGATCTGACATTCAAACTGACAAAATAAGTCAAGCTGATGCATGATGCATTCCAAAAAGGGTGATTTTAGGGGATAATTTTTGAAAATTTTATAAAGTGATTTAAGATTCAAATTGAATCAAGCTGATTCGTCATTCCAAATGATGGTTTTGATATGTTTTGAAAACTGATCGTGAATTTTCCAATTTTTCCCCACTATTTCATGCAAGTTCTGGGATGATCAAAGTTCTGACTGCTCCCCTGCCTCGGGTTATGAATTCCTGCAGCATCTGGATGTCTCCCTGAAATGGGCGATAGGTATCAACCCTGCAGCAAACTTTGGTCCCGCAATGTCCACTATGTCCACTATGTCTAGTTCCAACTCACAAATTTACCAACAAAATCCAACAAACAGCTCCACTCCAAATCCCATGGCTTTTCTTCGGGTTGCTGTTGGCCTTAGGCCGACACAGCTGCACAGTTCATTAACGATGGGCATCAGCCCCATCAATGGATGGCAATGGTCGCCCTGCCCGGCTGCCAGCACCACGCCGAGCCGATTGAGCCCGTTCTTGGCGTTCGTGGCGGTCATGGTTGGGGCTAGGAGAGTTGGCTCCTGTGGGAAGGAAGGGCGTGTCACGGTCGAAGAGCAAACCTTTGATGTCCACCTTTCGATCACAGCTGACACAGCGAGCTGTTAAGGGCTTTCGCCAGATTGCCGCGTCCACTTCCTGCTCGTTGTTCAGGAGTTTTTCAAAGCTCTGCCACAGCATTTGCAGTTGGCCTTGCCAAAGGCGAAGTTGCTCAGCGAGGAAATCCACATCCTCTCTGGGGGCCTTATCGTCAAAATCTCTCAGCAACTCATCTCGCAGCTTCTCCATCTCACTGCGAACCATGGCTTCAAAGGAGTTGAAAGCCTCCCTCATGGCTCCTGGTGACACAAATGGCATGCCTGATTCACCACCATAGAGCAGTTTCTGCATGGCGAGCAGCACATCCACTTGTGGTGATTCACCAGTATCACCTGTGCCTGCACCCTTGAGCAGCTCCCCCAAGAGTTGCAACATTTGAGGCATGGCCGCTTCAAAGCGGGATTGCATCTTGCTGAAGTTGCGCACGGCATCTTCCAACTTGGAGGACAGGAGATCCAGGGTTCGTTGATCCCCACTCACCGCCCGCCACAAGTTCATCATCTCACTTTTGAAGTTCTCATCAACTTCCATGTCAGCCAACCGAGGGGATCTCGGTGAATCCTGAGTTTCTTCCTTTCGATGTTCCACCTGAGGATGAATCACTACAAGAACAAGGCTGCAATATCCTGCAATACACAATCATCATTCCGCATAGTCAACATCACTCCAAGAAACATCACAAAACACACATCAATTCTTGGAAACTATCCCATTCTAGATGGTCAATCAAACTCATATTTGATTACAAGTACAAAATAGTACAAGTATGAGTCTGTCTGAAAAATGGGTTACCCCTAAAAGCCATCTGGCGTTTCTCGTCATTGTGCCACCAACTGATCCGAGGCATTTTTGGGTTTTGATGCTGAGGCCTGAGGCGTTTCTTTGTCGTCTTTGTTTTCTGATTTTTCTCTGTTCTAGGGTAAATAACAGCGGAACTTGTTTGATTTCAAATGAAATTCCAAATCTCAATAGTGCGACGTCACCCGAAACTGGGGGTACAGGGTTTCGGCATGTCTGCGAAACTGTCATTGCTCCACAAAATGCTGTCTTAGTGGAATTGTTTGTTACAGCATTTGCAGCATGTTTCCAAAAGGCAATGGAAGTATAGTACGTAAATAGTAAATACAACAAAATACATCAAAATACGTCATCACGAAAAGAACAGAAGTAAACCAGAACAAACAAAAAATATTGAGGACAGAAAGCGGTGGGAAAGGAAGGGAAAACGGTGGAAAAGGACGGAGTCGTAAAATTGAAATCCAAATTGTGCCGGAAACATGTCCAACATGTTTTATCATGATTTTGCGTTTCTTCTGGGTGTATTTCTCTCGCGAAACTTTGTTGAAAGCTGCAAACCCATTCATTCATTGTCGATGAAAGCAATGCTTGCAACATGCAACTATCAAAACATGTAGGGATTGGCTTCTCAATTGTTATTCTTGCTGCGTCTCTTACACCGGGAAATCTTTATCAGTATGTATGGCTGTTTGTCAGGGGTTTGGCATCTAGTTCTGGGTTTTGCAACTGCAAAGTGGCGCTGGGAAGTCCAAGTGCTTTGGTAAACCCTGGTGTTTGAGGCGTTTCTTGTTTTCCAGAGGCACTTTCAACCCATCAAAGCCAAAATCAATCTCATGCCGCCTGATGTTTTGTCCCCGGAACCTAAGCCATTTCTTGTTTGCCTCTGGTGTTTCTTTTTTTTTTTCGTATATCAATAATTCCGTTTGGGGGTGGGTAGTTAGTTGTATATAATATAATTAATAATAAGATATATGACATGAGTGGCGAACAAAATTACTTACTACCCTCAATGGACATGGCCAAAGTGGGTTCCTATCGGTTGTGAAGGTTTGTATGTGTGAACATAGGGTATCGGTAAGTTGGTGATCCATGGTGATCCCCTATCGGTTGTGAAGGTTTTCGCACAAACGTGAAATCCCAAGTCTGCTCCCTACTACTCTAGTCTTCCGCTATATAATATACGTATATACGTATATATTTATATACACATCGTATAATATGATGTTCATACATGTTCCATCACCCCAAAGCGGCGCCTCAGGAATCTGCACCAAACCTTCCACCAATGCGACGCGATTTCTGAGCCTTTGTAGCTCCTCACGTAGGGCCAACAGCTGCGAAGTCCCTTGAGGCGATGGTAATGGCAGCCCCGGCTGTGGTCCTTGGGACCGAACCTCAGAGTTTTCAGGTGATTTGATTTGTGATTTGGGGATATTTGGGGACCAACAATACGTATGGCATATGGTTCAACAAATGATATGTTTGCCCCATAGGTTCAACATGGTTTGCCCCATTTAACTGTTGGATGAAAACCAATGGAAAAACCATTGGTTAAGTTCCACTAAAATATCGAAAATCGACTCATCGAATCCTTGCGCAGCAACTCCAGCAGTGTTCATGGATTCCAGCAGGGCCAACCGTTCCTCCAAACAGGCACCTTCCAACAAAGCCAGACGACCAGGTAGCCGTGCAGTGTCCAAATCCTTGAGATTGGCCGCGAAAGTGGTGAAGTTCTGCTCCAAACGATCCAAGCGTTCCAAGTCGATGTTGGGAAAACTGGCCGTTCCTTCTCGATCAGCATGATCCTTGTGGATCAAGGGGAGATGTGGGGAGAGCGAAAGGAAAGATGGCAATTCGAATGTAATGAAGCAGCATCCTAGCGATCCTAGCATTCATGATACCCTATGATACCCTCACATCATGCATGTATTTGGCCCCCTCTTTCCTACATCATAAGGACTTGTCATGACTTGTCCAAACATGGGATGTACCATGGTGCATCCCCAGCAGTTGGGGTGATATTTTGGGGGGCAACCCCATAGGCATCATCAACCCAGGCTGGATCCATGGAGTCACTAAGCTCAATGGAGTGTCCTTTGGCGAGGATGGCGAGGCATCCTCATGTGGTGGTGATGGTGTAGCGACTGGATGAGCTGGAAGTAAGTCGGTGACAAGCTCATTCACATGTTTCTTCATCCAAGAGAGGAGCTCAGCTCCTTCCAGATTGTGTGACTGAACTTGAGCATCTCCCGTGATACCGGAAATCTGCTTGTTAAGCCATGACTTCATATCATTCGAACCATCCTGACCTTTCCCTTCCATCTCAGCTGTTTCAGAGCGCACTTTGGCATCTGCTTGGTCCTGTCCTGCGCGTTCTTTGGCATCAGACACAGTTCTTTTGGGATGTTTCTCTTGTAAATCCTCAGCTTCCTTGGCTTGTTTGGCCAAGACATTCCTGAGCATCATGTCTGTTGAGGTGAGACGATTTTCGATGGATAAGGTTTTACTTTCCACCACCTCCTCGATCCGACTGCCCATGCCTTCTGAGGCCACCTTCAGCATCTCTTGAATCTCGCCTTTGACCGTCTGCATGGCTTGGTTTAACGAACCATTCACATCTGTCATGGTCACGTCAACATAGGTCACCAGCTCATTTTGGGATCGAAAACGTCCATGACCCCAGCTTTTCACGAAGTCTGGCAGCTGCTTCGCAAGTTCTGGAGATAGACGGCTGCTATCATTGGAAATCTGAATTCCAGCTCCTCAAGCTGGTGCAGAGATTGCTCCAAGCCCAGAGAGAAGCGGCTTTCCATGCCGTTCAGTCGCTGTTCGAAAATCCGCAATCGTTCATCCACGGAGTCATTCATTTGCCGAACGACTCGATGCAACGATGCCACCTCTGTGGCAAGGGATTCACGAACTCCTTTGCCAACAGCAGCAATGGCAACCTGGGCCCCAAGAGTGAAAGATTACATCCAAATACACCTACATATTTTAAAGAATATAACATACATAAACAATCACAAACTAAATATGAAAGATGTGAAGCTTCCTGTGAATCTGTTTAAATGTTCTTGAGCTAGTTCATTCCACTGATTCATTTTTAGCTTGTCACCCAGCCAATCCCAGCCACTCGTTCAGCTTCTTGAAACAATTCCGCATGATTTTGCTGTCGAAGAGATCGGATCCCAAGCTCTAGATCTCTTTTAGCAGAGTCGATCTGCATGTCCACAAGAGTCCGTTGGGCCTCAGGGCCATGACATGGTGATGAATCTGGGCGAATTGTGATGACTTTCGAGGAGGAAAGGAAGAGGAAAGAGTTGGTCAAGAAGGAAGAGGACATGACAAGCATCGTACAGTTTGACTTGACCGCTTGGTGAAAAAAAAGATGTTGCAATGAAAGCCTAGAAATACCTGGGAGGATGAGACTCAACAGTATCTAAACATCACATGTACATCATTCCATATCAGATTTCTGGAGTTTGTTCAGCCATGCGGAAACAAAAAGGCCTTCTGCTGCTGCTCTGTGAATTCCTTGAATGTGTTGAAGCCTTCCTCCAGAGACAGCAATCGCTGTTCCACCCGGGCATTTCCCCCCTGCGACCCTTCATCGCGAACAGTGTCCTCGGAGTTGCTGCTTGGGGGTCCAAAAAATGAACCTAAATTGGGTGTGTCCGGAAATAAGGTATAACCAAAAAATCAAGATTCAATGGGGAAAGTGAGCATTCGAACTCTTGCAACTTTTGGAATTGTGCGTACCCCATAATCAAACAAACCATGACTAAGATTGACTAAGCCATATTCCCAGTAGATTCTCCGAAGTGCAGACTAAACCCCATTGGATTGGTTTCAAGGGAATACTTGCAGAAAACCACCTGTAAATCCATGCGTCTGTCTGCCTGGTGTATGACACGAAGCCTTCCATGGGCAATGCCAGGCCGTTCCAAACGGGATACCAGTTTGTTGGGGGTCATCCGAGGTATGGATGGGACATTTGTACAACATGGACTAATGTAGTCCAAACATTCCCAGTACATCTCTGCTTTCTACAATCATTGTAGTTCCAACCCTGACTCTTCATCATGCAATGTTGAGACGTGGTTGTGATTTGAGCGGCGAGGACGGAACTGCATTGCTTTGATGGTTCCGAATTGAATACCATAGACTCCCCGCAAAAGCTGCATAATGCTGCATATCTTGTTGCTGTTGCTTGTGCAGAAACTCATGTGCAGCACCTGCGCTACCTGACGACTCTGACAGTTCTTGAGCCACGTGCTGGTGATCCGTTGAAATTGCATGCAGCACTGCGGATTTTCCACTCCAATAGGGGCTAGGGCCAGGGGTACATGGCTCCAGCCTTCAACGACTTCCCGAAACACCAAGTGGCTGCTGTCAATTCCTTGCCTGCACCACAGATTCCCAGAGCAGCCGGTACTCCCGCTCGTCCAACTGAGCGCCAGCAGGAGCAGTCAAAGTAGGATTCACCTGTCAAGCGGAGGTGCTGGATTGTAACTAGCATACAAGATCATACAAGTACATAATAGAAATTACAAACATCATCAAAGGTCAAGAATTGCATTTTGACGGAACAGTTTTGATAACATCCTCTGATGAGCTCTACCAATGGTTCAAATTCATTCAATCCATACAGTATCTAGGGCTCGCAACAGGAAAACTGCTTCCAGATTCGATAAATCATCAGCTCTTGTGCGATCTATGAAGTCTCAAATGGATCTGATTGTCAAATGGATCTTTCACATCATTGAATTCAAGAATCAAAGTGGCCAGAATCCAGAATCCAGCATCGTCGCAATTCATATATACATATATTCATTTACATATAATGTACTGTATAATGTATATATATATGTATATTAACGTAATTATATTATATATTAATACACATATTGTTATAGTATATATATTCTAGTGATTTATAGTGTATATGATATAATATTATATATAATATTATATAATAATACGTTGTCCCGACATGATTCAACATCTCTTTCAGAGTCACTTCAGAACATGCCATGGCCCTGGCACGGCAAAGGATTGCACCTCTTCCGAGCGCAGAGCGTTGTTGTCCCCTGTGGCGCAGAACAAGTCTCGCGGCAGCCGGCGTATCTGACGTATCTGCTCAACTGTTAACCTCTTTAAAAAAAAGGCAGATTCTTCCAATAAGTCAGTAATATTTTATTGATTAACAGTTCAACTGGTTTGGTTGACTTAAAGAATAAGTTCTATTACAGTAATTATCATGTTAGTATAATTTTGGGTCAAACGAATCAGTAACTATATACTTTCCAGTTGATAAATTACCTTCATTGTCTCAAACAAATCACCAAGCTTTCATCCCAAGGTCACCACCTGGTGGTATGTTGATGACCAGCGCAGGCCGCGCATCCAGACGCTGAGGGATTGCGCCTGCAAAGCCTGTTTTTTTTGGGCTGAGGGATTGGGGGTCCTCGCTGGTACGACGGATTGGAGAGAACACAAATGTCTACCCTCTGGTAAATTAACATAGACCCTGGCAGATAGGGGTTGGAAGACTAGTTTCCATTAAAAATTGGTGATTTTCAGGGTCTATGTTTATTTACCAGAGGGTAAAACATTCTAAAACCATCCAAAACCGCCAGCACCATGACCTGTCGATTAGCCATCACTAACCCTTGATTGAAACCAGCGGACCAACTACATCCAACTACGGCAACTCTGCCTTCTGGGTCATGCGGGTTGCGATCGGGGCTTGGTGCTGGCCTGGGCGGTTGCAGGATGAATCTACAGCGGTACCAAAGCAGAAAGGTCACTGCAGACTGCAGACCAATGAGAGCATTGTGAATGATTTTTGTTGCGAACACATATGTTTTCCTTATTTTTCCTTATCGTGTCATAAAATATCATAAAATTACGTTATCATAATTAGGTTCTACTCACCATCTCACCATGACATTGGATGCTACGTAGTGCATCTCAGCTACGCCACTCGTTTTTTCTGGGACATAAAAAGGCCGAGCCACTCGGGTTCGGCACATGGAGTCGGAGCCTCCGCCGCCTCCGCCGCCTCCGGCTCCGGAGGGTCCGGGTCACGCTCCTCGTTCTCGATGCCCTTCTTGCTCTCAGAGAGGTGAGTGAGGATGGTGGGCAAACCTGTCAACAGAAATGGGCTAAGATATGGCCAGATATGGTAATGAAATGTAATGAATAAAGAAACAACTCATCAACTTATAGCATCTTATAATATCTTATAATATCTTATAGCGACATATCATGACATATCCAATCCCCCCTTTGTTGGAGCAAAGCCGTGTTCGCTGCTCTCCATGGCAACTTGGGGGTGGAGAATGATAAAAACTCTTGGGAAATGGATCTTGATGGGTCCAATTCTCAAACACACAACCAAATGATGTTAAGAAGAGGCTGCCAACAGTCCTTCCGGATGCTTGTGATTGCAGATCCCGTTTCAAAATGTTGCTCAAATCTTTTGAGGACACGGGCAGACTTCTTGCAAGCTGATCTTCCTGAATGAGTTTAATGACACATCGCAAGTTTCGGCATCTGTATGGTCAACGCAATCAACAAAATTTCAGCAGCCGTGAAAGCCACAGAACTTTTCAGAAAAAATCTAGTCTGTCCCAAGATGCTGATTGGTGGTTCAGTCACCTATCCCAAAAGCTATGAGAGCCAAATTGATTCAAATCATCATCCCCAGGCCGCAAAATAGTTCAAACCAACTCTAAGATATCCATATAGATTCTATATAGATATTCCACATCTAAAAGCATCAGCAAAACAGCCAAACAACTCAGGCCCAACTCAGGCCCCCATGGGCCCCATGAGCCCCATGACGGCCCATGACTCCCATAGCCATCTCCCATGATGACCTCCAGAAGACAAAGATCCCAAGCTCAACTGTCTCCAGCTGCTGAAACATGTGGTCACGTGCCCAACTGCTGAGTCGATCGGACTTTCTTCTCCTGTCAGACAGATGTCATTGGGATCACCTTAAAAAAGTTGGGGGCGATCTTAAGACATAGGACAATTCTCAAATCCGTACCAGTTGTCTCACTTAGATCTATAGCAATAGTTATGGTTGCCGTTGTAGTTCTCGTTGTAGTTCTAGTTGGAAATGCGTGTCTATATATATATATATGTACAATATATATATACGCACTACAGTTGTTGTATGTTTTAGCAATAGCAACACCAAGTAACTTGGCAACCTACAGGGCAGGGAGATGGGGGGATGGGCATTCGTTTACCCGTGAATCTCCCTGTACCTTCTACCAATCAAACATAGACTTCGAATAGGAAACAACCCATTGACAATCAGCGTGTTCTGTCCATTCCGGTCCATAACATTTATTATAAGTTGGGGTATCCGATACATTGACAAGTATACTTCCATTCATATCAATACTTGAAATCCAACGTACATGATAATATAATATATATATATATAATGTCAAGTCAGGATTAATCAACACCCCGTTATTAATCAACCTCCTCCTCCCAAAAAATGTTTTGCAATTTAAAAACAGGTGGTCCCCCAGGATTAATAAACCGTTTGGCTAGAGCATGATTAATCAACCTCCTTTGCTGAAATCCATTTTTTTATCCAACAATTTTTATTTCCAATTCTATTTATTTCCAATTGTTGTTTACTTTTTTTAAATCATCATTGTTATACTTAAGGTTTGAGTTGATCATTGAACATTTCAAAAAACAACTATTCCCCAAATGATCGATTTCTAATTAAAATCTTTATAAAAATCATCAGTTTGGATAGCTCCCAAAGGGTACCCCCCATGAGCCCATGTCCCCCATTAATAATAACCACGGTTTGCCCCTAATTAATCAACCACCTTTCTGATCCATGAGATTTTAACAAATCCAATGGAATTCTATTAAGATCTAATTGACGTAAGCCATATCCAAAGTTTTATGGTTCAGAGTTGCTTATTATTAAGGGGTGGTCAAGGAAACTAGACAGAAGGTACCCCCCTACCTTCCGGGGGGTGGTATTAATCCGGTGTTGGCATTATAATATAATATATATATATAAATAATAATATTATATATATAATATATATATATATATTATATATATTATACACGTATAAATAACCCCATATCCTCACTATACAAGTCTATCACATTCTATCCTTATCCAACTTACATTATCATCATTGTATAACCCCATTTCTATCCATAACCCCAATGGTTTCCCGATTTTAACCCTGTGTACCTGGCCTTGCGATGCCGATGCTTCATCTGGCAGCCCAGGTAGCACAGAGGCCGACGCTGCAGGTGGCGTGTCATCTGAAGTCAGACACATGGGAGGAGGGTCGGACATGCCCAGCATGCCCAGCCTGGTCTCATTTGGATAGTTCAATATCACAGTACATATAATGTCAACCCTGGATTAATAAACCCCTAAAACAGCTGTTTTTCAAAAAGGGAAGGTACCATAAAACAGTATCAAATCATGACTATTGGGGGAATACTGTACCCCCCCTAATTAATAAACCATGGTTTATTAATCCGGGGTTGACATTGTGCATATACATCATATGAACTAAATTATGATTAATATGAGTAATATATTGATTGATTGATTTATATGATTAATATGATTACAACCACACAGATTTTCCAAATCAACATTGTCAATGATACACAGTCCATTAATCTCTTTTTGGTAGCTTGCGCATGCCAAGTGGCTTGAAGATTCTTACACATCAAGCCGGGTATCTGAAAATGGGGGCTTTTTGTTGCCCCCATTTTCACGGCCATCTAAATATAGGGTGCCAGGTGGTCACTATAATAAACCATCAAATTTAGACCCCCGTATCTTGAATCAGACTTCTGATAACTAGAGTATCTAGAGTGAGTGTTCTGGCTAAAAAAGAGTCTGCTTCCCCCATGGAGCGCGAGACGCCCGGCCTTGTACATTCCCCACGCTCTCAATGGTCGACAGCTTCACATGGCGCCGCTTGATGGTCTCCAAGATGGGTGTCGTGGGTGTCATGGGCGAACAAGCACCTGGAATAAAGAAACTGTGGCACAGGCCCCAGGATTTTGTTCAAGGCCATTGCATTTTTTATGCAAAAAAAAAGATATGAAACGCATAGGAAGCAAAACATACAAACGGGTTTGTCTCAATATCTGGACAACATCCTTTGGTTTATGATTTGTTTCCCTGCCAGGAAAGTCAACTTTGGAAGAGACAAAATCATGCAACGAAAAGCATAATGTAATTTGCACGGCACTTGACCTTATGATTGCTACAACTCTTGGTACTCGTTTTCTGGATTTTGTGTTCCGCCCTGCCCCCCCTCGCCATTCATGAAAACGATGCTATGTATTTATGTATCATAGATATATATTTTGTACATATTATATAATATATATATTTATTTATTTATTTATGTTGTTGTCATGGTCCTTTTCAGTCCTAGGTATTTACCAAATATCTAAGTTGTTTTTTGCATCCGAAATAACTTATCTGCGGTTTTGACCCTCTAACATTGTATCTTCTATGTTTGATCTTGCACATGCACATATATCCAAACGCTGTCCCAAAATCATACATGACAAATATACAGATACATATCATCACATGATATCAATATGTTTACATTATTGTGCACTATTGCTGTTCAACGTGCAAATTGGCGAAAAAATCCGACTCCTGACTCCTAGTGCAACTCATGGTCTTTGAGATAGATCATGTCCAACTCGTCAGAAGGAAACAGGATGAAGTGCTGGCGTTCGTGGTTTCGACCCATCCCCAAAAGCTCCCATGCTGTCAATTTGCATGAATCTGCTAGATCATCATATATCATCTATATTCATCTCTATCCAAAGTAACGAATCAAGAGCTAAAGAAACAAACAGTCAAAGAACACAAACACGACACGTTCAGCCTGTTTCAGCTGTCGTTTCCCCGCATCTCGCACCTTCTTGCTCCTCGCCGCTGTGCTTTGTGGATCCGTCCAAGCCTGGATGATGACGATGATTATTGTGATGGTGATGACAATCGATGGAATAGGGGGTACCCTACTTTCAGACACACTCATTTGGATCATAATTATATATACATTTCCTGTAGCTCCACAGAAAGGGGCCGTCTGAAAAACATTCCGAAATCAGCGCCTGAGTTTTGTGTCACTTCTGGCTGCGTGGAACTTGTCGAGCCGCCTGCAGGACTAGCGTTTCCTGTAGTTTTTCCCCTTGAACCAACCACATGATTCAACCAACTCATGTGAAATCTTGGTCATCTGAATCTGGCCCACTGGGGTTGGGATCCTGATTTGTCCCTTGGCTGTCCCTTTATTTTGTTTGGTGCTTCAACAATCCAATTCTTGAACTTCCTCCTTGATGTTTAAACATCATTAAATATCCTTAAATTCTCAATGTTCCACAATTTTGTTGGTTTCATCATGTTTCATCATATTTTCTCCCCATTTTTGCTGCTTGAATCATCAGTCCTCCGCACCCCAGCGCCTCTGCTTTTCGTACCCGGCAGCTGAATTGCTGCCTTGGCCTTCGCAGCACCTGTAAGGCAGAAGCTGCTGGGGCTGTCTTGGAATGGGCCAACAGCAAAATGGCTCTCAAATGAGCCACAAAAACTTCCAACATGGAGATTTCATGGAGATATCATGAGGTCATAGTGGGTTATATATATATATGTAATTATATGTAATTATGTATGTATATATATAATATATATATATCATAGTTGTTCCCTGTTTTCAACCGATAGGTTTCTGGATTGTGTGATAAAAACCGCTGGTTTCTTTCAAACATCCGTTTAACATCCAGAAACCATCAGAAACTGATGGCTCACCTTGAAGCAACCGGGGCTCCCTAGGGACCGGGATGGTGCCCTACTCATGGTGCTACTCCTTGGCATCATCCCAAAGCCAATTTCTACCGTTGAAGAAAAAATCCCCCGGGCATATGAAAAACAGACCCCAGAAACCATGGTTTATCGTTGACTGTACCACCTCTTTGGGACCACAACATGACAACATGGGGGTGCTTAATATGAACGAGGGATGGGAGCAGAAAAAGGACCATCTTTGAAACCATCAGAAAAAGGCTCACCATACCAATGTGGCCTGGTTTCCTCACTTCTGATTTTGACTTTGGCCGCGGACCTGTTCCGACCCAAGGAACATGTGCTGCAAATGGAACAATTAAAGTGGAAATGCAAGCGTCCGTCAATCTCGAGTCAAAAGATGTCTAAAACAACATCCAAAAATATCAAACACATGCCCGCAAATTCTGGCAAAAAAGATGCTACGAGTACTGTATGCATTGGCAATTCCGACACATTGGGACCAGCACCTGATGAACTTGCTTTAGGACCAGCACCACGAGAAGCGTCACCTGCAACACCTTCACATTGTGCAAGCCACCATGATGTCATTTGATGTGTTTGTTTCATCTCAAATGTCAAAAAATTGAACATGCAGGATTCCAAAACCGAGACGAATCCAGCGCTTGCATGGAGACACAGGACTTTGCCCCACTGGGTCATGGTGGGTCCAGCAAATTTTCCTGTGAACCAACCGATCCTGTCCTGGTCTGTTGGCAGCTTTTGCTTTTGCACCTGCGCAATTTTGGTGCGTCCAGTGACCTTTTCCCAAAACCTTGCAATGAGGATAGGTATCATTATTTAAATTGATATAAATTGATTAAACATGCTTTCAGAGTGGGAAGCTCGTGTTTCAAAGAACTGGCAGTGTCTGGCATATTCTATGTATGCAAACAATTTGAGTCGAAGCTGTCGCCAATTCCACTGGTTCAAGTCTACTGACACGAACAGTGCCATATTTTTGCATGTCATGGAAAAAGCGATGGTGATGTTAACACCAAGTTTTGAGTTGTCAAAGGGATAAGCAGCGATTAGAACATATGTGATATGTGTGTATATATATATAATGTATATAATATATATATATATTAATGTTTGCACCCGATTAAAGAGATGGTAACCTATTGTGAGAAATTTCTTGCTCCTAATTCAGTAACATGCTAATTGTTGGGGGGGGCTCTATTGTGAGATTTTTTCCAGATTATTTTTCAATTTTTATTTTTTTTCCAAATGCTTTAACTTTATTGCTTATTTTTGTTTATTTATTATTTTTTGGTTTTTATTTTAAATATTTATATTTTGTTCTTATTCAATTATGTTTTTTTGTTTTATTTTATTTTTATGTTTATTTACTAGTGTTGCATTTTTGTTTCATTGCTTCCTTTTTTTGAATTGCTTCCTTTTTCATTACTTAATTAATTAATTACAGTATGAGCGGCACAGTTACTGAATATATAATTGTCTGGATGGTACTCTATTGTGAGCACCAACTTTTGGGAGTGAAAAAAAAACTTTCTCCACCTTTCTTTGGGTAAAGCTGGTCCCTTTACTTTAGAAAACCATATTTGTGTTAAAGCTTTAAAATGCAAGGTTTCCCAAATAATTAGATGCCTTATTAAACCCTTATTAAAAAACAGCATCCAAACAATTTTTCAAGAGGATACCTCATGATTGGCTCAGTTACTGAATAATATAATTGTTTGGATGGTACTCTATTGTGAGCAGCAACTTTTTGGAGTGAAAAAAAAACAAAGCCATTGAAAGCAATTAAAAGTAAACTGAAAGTTAATTGAAATTAAATTGAAATTAAATTGAAATCAATTGAAAGTAAATTGAAAGTAAAAGTAAATTGAAACTAATTGAAAGTAAATTGAAACCAATTAAGAGTAAATTGAAATCAATTGAAAGTAAATTAAGAGTAAATTTAAATAAATTAAAAATAAATTGAAATCAATTGAAAATAATTTGAAATCAATTAAAAGTAAATTGAAATTAATTGAACGTAAATTAAAAGTAAATTGAAATCAATTAAACGTAAATTGAAATCAATTGAACTTAAATTAAGAGTAAATCTAAATAAATTAAAAATAAATAATTGAAAATAATTTGAAATCAATTAAAAGTAAATTGAAATCAATTGAACGTAAATCAAAAGTAAATTGAAATAAATTAAAAGTAAATTGAAATCAATTGAACGTAAATTAAAAGTAAATTGAAATCAATTAAAAGTAAATTGAAATCAATTGAACGTAAATTAAAAGTAATTAGAAATCCTTACTTAAGTTGATTAACCAAAAAAATGTTGAGGGGGGGGCATAAAAAGTGCGAGTTATAGAGTATCCTCAAATTGTTTGAGGGGGTGGGCCCCCTCACACTAATCAGCAGCGAACATTATGTATAATATATATATATACGTACTATCATACTTGTGATTCATGTTGTATCCAAAGATCCAAAGCAATTCTCTTCAGGTTTCGCAATTGCTCGCCACGAGCCAAGTCACGAGGAGGACTCTTTGGCAGCGCCCGCTTGGGAACTGCAACCGCCTTTTCGGGAAGTTGCCGTTTGGTCCCCAAAGAAATATGGGGAAAGAACCACTGGAAACTATAAGAATGTGGAGAATCAATCTGGGATATCTGGGGTTGAAAATTTCAGGGAAAACCCCTATAATTCATCCTAATTCATTGGTTCGAATCACCGTTTTACCTATCAAAATTATGCATTTTGGAGGTATATCATTTTTCAGGCACACCTATTTCCCTCTTGTTGGTAACCATTATGGTGCATACTGGGGTTGCTGAACAACTTGAGGGATTTGAGTAGTTTGTTTCAACCTTTGGAGTTATGTGTTTTGTTGGAAGAACGGAACGCCCTCTCCTATCATCAGGGATCACCAAATATAATATATAAATATATATGATATGTAAATTACATACAGTACCCACTTATCCACTACTGGGGAAGTGAAAATGTTGGAACATTGTCTCTGAGTTGTTTTCAAGTACTCAGAGTGCACAATGATGATGATATTGGTGGATCCCATGGGATTCCCAAATCACCATGGGTTTCCATACTAAAATGGTTCAATTGTGGATGATTTGGGGCTACCCGGAGCCGCAAAGGAATTGTCTCGCCCCCTTTTTGCGGCTCAAACCAGGCGGTGTTGGGAGAGTCTGCCCACCTCAGACTCATCACAGGTCCCCGGACCCTGGGTGGCTTTAACCCATGCCAAACAAACTTCATTGAGGTCGGAATGGGAAAAATCGTGGAACAAATTGAAACCACCAACCCATCTATTTATTCCCTCCCACTATTCTGATGACCTGCGCAGGGATCAACAACAGGTAGCCTCAAACCTGGAGGTGATTCTTGATTACGACCCAATTGGTATTACCGTGCCCTCCAGTAATCTGACTGGGCAATGAAAAAAACTGCCCGGAGATTTACATTGACAAAGGTTGAATTGGGCTTGTCCAGAGCTTGGAGATGCCCAAATTTATGGCCATCAAATAGACAGGACAATGAGATTTTATGTTTCAAGCCGAGGGAGTTTGGGGTATATACATTGTTTTTGGACAAACCAAAGAACTTCGCCCAGAAATTGGCGTGGTTCTTTTTTGCCAAACTTGCTGCTGTAAGTGAGGTCTGGCAGCTATTGTAGATGATTATATAAACCACCATATCCATCCATATCCCCTTTGTATGGTTGCGGTTGATTGTATGCACCATATTCTCATGATATTCTGATTGAATCCACTGGAAAATCCTATGGGCACATCGGGGCCCTCCATGAATCAACCAACCAGTGGGAAAAACATATCCGAGCCATTAAAACTCTTCTTATCCCATCTAATTATACTTGGTTGATATGTTTCCCTGCTATTGATTATCATCATCAATAATTCAGGCAATATATAATTCCCACCAATCAACAACGGTATTTTATGGTATGTCATAGCTCATCTATGTTTACCACCCCATCAGTTAATCAAAAACTGCCGGGCAGCTGGAGGCTTCCCACAGCTTCACCACAACGGAAGCGCTCCTCAGTTTGCTGCTGCCTTTCCAACAGCTCCTGGTAAAAATCTGCTAGGCGCTGCTGGATGTGGATGCCACAACCGTGGATTTTTTGATCAACAAGACTGAACCATCAAACAGTAGAATAACACATAATGAAACCAAAGACTGATCAGGATACAACTTGATATATTATATTATATATTATATATACATATGTAACTCAGATTATGGGAATGTCCTGAAGCTTGAACCCAACAAAATATGACATATCTTTAGCAAATGGCCAATGGTCAAGGCTTTCACCCCTGACCCTATTTGTTGGCCTTAACCAAAAACGACTTTCTCAAAGACCTCTGTTGGTTGTGTCTGCAAGGTTGCATCCTTGGCCAGCAAAACAAAGACTTCTTTTGCTTCGCCGGCACCTGCGATTGATCGTCGCTGTCAGAGGGATGAACCAAGAGGTCAGCTGAGAAACCCCGAAACCCAGGAGCCATCTTGAATGATTGCTGGATACTCAATGATCATTATTGCAAATCATAAGCAATGAACCCATCATGCCCAATTCCAATATTTTCATATATATATATACCTTGAGCTTCCATATCCCAAGAAAAGAGGATTTTGCAAAATATCTCAATTTTCAGAGTGAAAACCCGGTTTTCCTTTGGCTGCATCGTCGGCGGCTTTTGACGCTGGGTTGTTGACGGGTTTTTACTGGATATTCACACATTTTTACGGCATATTCACGGGTTTTCGACAGGTTAGCAAAACCAGTTCTTCCTCCAAAAGCAGGTTTTCGGTGCCAAAACCGCTTTTTCTGGGTTTTCGCTCAAAAACCTGGTTTTTGTCCCGCAACCCACTCTGTTTCAGGATATGGAAGTCATATAGGTATTTATATATATATATAGTATATCAATTATATCTATATATATATACCATATCTAGATATATATATATATATCATATAGGTAATTATACATATACATATATCTATATATATATATCATCAACGCCCCAGTTTTGCTGGCAAAGTCTCCAATTTCTCCAACCGATGGTGAAAAACCGTAATGGTCCAATCCCCTCTCAGCCAAGCGTCTAGAACCGGCAGCAAAATGCTTGATGCCAAACCTCACAACGGGTGCATCGGGTGGTGTTCCATTCCCAGCCTTACCTGATTTTTATCAAATTACACCATTGAGTAAGCATGAGTAAGCAGTTGATGTACTGTGAAAAAAGATTGTGAGCATATTTAGTCTGTATTGATATGTATTGTATGTTCGTTGGCAATAGAAGACCAGGATAGAACACCCATTCCTTGCAGCTCAATGCGGAAAGAACGTGGGTTTATCCAAAACAGGGTACCCTGTTGAGATCCAGTGGATGAAGATCTCATTGTTCCAACCTTTTTTGCGGCCCGCTAAATGGGGCAAATGGGGCAAATCCACGATGGAAAACCTTGGCCATTCCCTGAGCTCCACACTTTGTGGCCAAAGCTTCGCCTTCTTCAAATTCCACTTCGACACCTTCCACATCATCCTTGCATCGGACAATAACCTGCAGCCGACGTCGGGTCACAAAAGAAATGGGCATGATGATTCATACGAAGAACCCGCAGCCACCAGTTTGTTTGACTCCAGTAGCAAGTTGCTGGTTGCATTCATACGGGAATGGGCCACTACCTATGATACATTAGGATTTCATATGAATGGTGGGATGGACATCCATAACTGTCAGTGTTCAACAGAGTACCAGACTTTTTGACCCATAGCCATATATTAATAAACATTCCAATAATCTTCAAACTCTGGATGTTTCTCAAAATTGAGGTACCTGTACCCCAAAACCATCGATTTCCCCATCAAAATATACCAATTTGATCCAATTTGCATGATACCAGCAACTTCTTTGTGTCCCATGGCTTAAGAACCCCCCCATCTCAGACTGCTGAGGCTGCTGAGTGACCAACAGACTTTGCGGCCCACACAACTCGCGCAACATGACGATCCATAGCTCGGCTGCTTCAAAGGACTTCCTGGATCGCTGTGCGCCAAAAATGACTGCACGACCCTGACCTTGGCACCCAGGTGTTCACACCATAGCAAATGTTCATTACCCTTGTCCCGAAACAATATTTTTTTTAATCGATTCCCTCTAATACTAAACGTACCCAACATATTAAAAACTAGGGTCTGTGTTCAATTTTGGGAAATTTGAAGTTGGCAAATGTGATTTTAATTGATCCCCTCTAGAAAACAATTCAAAAATGAAGGTCCCATTTGAGGGTTTCACCCACTAATAATAAGGACCAGTCAACACCGGGGAGTTTTTTTTAATTGGGGTCCGTCCCTACAATCGAACATTTTAGATTTTCTAAATTAAGGTTTTAAATTAATATTAGGGGACCTGGCTTTTACAGGTATTTAATAGACTTTGAAATAGAATGGTTAGTTTTGAATTATAACATTAGGGGAACCTTGGAAATCCAATTTTTGGCAGTATGTTCATTAGATTTTAAACAGGAATTTAATCGATTTTGAAGTAGAAAAAAATAGGTTCTTTAATTGAGGTTTAATTTCATATCAGGGCAACCGTCGAACTCCTATTTCTGGCAATATTTCAATTAGATTTTAAAAAGAGATTGAATCGATTTGAAATAGAATGAAATAGATAAGTTTTGCTTCTTCATTAAGGTTCTAATCTCATATTAAGGGAATCTTCGAAATCCAATTTTTGACAATAGTTTATATAATTAGTTTTTAAACAAAAATAAAAGGTATTTATCGATTTTGAAATAGATTATGGATTTTTTAATTTTAATATTAGGGGAACCTTCGAAATCCAATTAATTAGATTTTAAAAGGGAATTTAATCGATTTTGACATATAATATAAATATATTTGTATAATATATATATAGTTTGTTAAAAAAAACTAAGGTCTTTAATTTTCTCACCCTAATATTAGATACCCCCTAGTATTCAAAACTCCCCTAGTTGTTTATTATTCGCCGGTGGGGGGTGGTGTATTAGCCCAACACGATGTTGGAAACTTGGGGAACCACAAGCCCTGGGGCTCTATGTTTGCCCGTCCTATCGCTCGCTGCGTAGACAATGACGCAAGCTTTGGCCATGCAGTGCTTCTCAGCTAAAGAACGCGGATCATCGATGCCTGCCGTGCAAAAGATGCATTCTGCAAGGTTACCCTCTGGTAATTTAACATAGCTATTGAAAATGACCATTTATAGTGGATTTACCCATTGAAAATGGTGATTTTCCATAGTTATGTTAGTTTACCAGAGGATAGTGCAAAGGATTTCTTTAGGGGAATGACCAACTGACCTTAACTCTCAGTCCCTGCAGACTGAGGTTCTGCCCAAAAGAAATCCTAAAGGCATCCCTTTAGATCTGTTGTGACTGCTTCAGCTTCGGAGTTTCAAGCCCAGCCTGGAGTATCCCAAAGATGAAATGTCACTTCATCGCCGTCCAGTTCCAGTCTCTTTTCGATAAAGTCTGTCACCAGTGTTTGTTGATACCTTGCTTGTCGCAAACAAGGAGAAATGCATTTTCTGCTCTTCTCCAGTTATGTCTGAAATCTACACCGTCCACACCTTCATGAAAACCTCAATTCTGACGTTTTTAAAGCAGTCGCCTCCCTGTGCCTCCAAGCTACTCCAAATTGCCACTCCTTCCGCAAAACCGCCGGAGAAAACTGCTCTTTCCACAGCCTGTGCTGCCCACAACGGCCACACTCCAAGTAATTTCAACGTCAAAGTCATCACCGGTCGCTTCAGAGAGGTAGTGCCCCAGTCTTTGCGGTGCTATGAAAGGCTTGGCCACAGCTGGCTGTGCCTCCCGGCCGCAAAAACATCATGGTGGTCTCCTATTAAAAAAGACTCTCAAACCCATGCATATCCAACATCCAATAGACTGAACACATGTAATATACATCAATCAATGGTGATGTGAATGATATGGATGATATGGACTTGATTCTTTCCATATTCCATATCATCATATACATCAATGATGGATACACAATAAGGGTTAGCTTTGACATCTACAAATATCTACAAATACATGGCCTCTGAATATTTTTCGGCATCCTCCTATCCTGTGTCATTGCGATGCCCAGCAAGCCCCGGGCAGCTTCGGGATCCTCCTAAAACGCTCGTAAATCAAAGTAACATGCAATGTAATGTAACATGTTCATCCATCCCCCAAAAAATGGTAAACTAATGTAAACAATATATAAATATGTAGGTCTTGGCCCACTATTATGAAGAACAAATGGCAAAATATATGTCTTGACCCACCCCTACTATGAAGAACAAGAAGAATGGAGTGGCAAACATGGGGAACAGACGAGAGATGGAGAGTTCTTGACTGCGCTGGCTCCTCAGCGATGATTGCCACCGCTCTTGCAAGCTCTGCCACGTCATTGCTGTTTGGTGGCATTGACAGAGTCTTTCGGCCACTAGTGAGGCAACACGGACAACCAGATTTGGTTTTGTTTTATGTTGTTTTATGTTTCGTTTAACCGTTTAACTATCAAATTTCTGGACCACTGTAAGACTATATGATATGACTATAATAATCAATATGAGATTTTCTGATGGCAAACACCTGCGGCTTTCCCAATCCAAAGCTGCAGCAACGAGATGAAACCGCATCGAAGGCTCAAAAATACTAAGCTCAGGAAATATCCAAGTTGATTGATTCTACCAGTCAATTGCATGTACCCATTGGCCCAGCGATTATTTGTTCTACTATGTGCAATTGACTGGTATTATACTGTATGCTCAATTCAGTGATATTGGTGCATGCAATGCAAATGTTGACCAGCTATGGTCAGCTGTTTTGGTGCATTAAATCGGTTTTTTAGATTTCATTTTAGGTCATTGAGGTCAACTCATCACCTCCATTTTGGTACTTGACCTCCCCAGTTCTGGCCAAAAATGCCTCGCAACTGATGGTACTGGCCTCATGTGGCAGGATTCCCCAGATTCCCCCAATGGACTGTGCTACTCCCAAGTAGAGACTGTGGATGGAAGAGATCCTGCACCAGTTGGTAGATGGTAAACACCCCATTATTTATAGGGTTTCAACCATCCAAGTCAAGGTGGTGCAGGATTTCTTCCATCCACAATATGACTAGTATAAACCCCTATAATCATCAACCAACCGGAGTTTTGAACACTGCTCAAATGCTGTTGATATGGCTGAAAGTTCTGGATGGTTACGGTAATCCTTGGACCACAGAAGTTTGACCATCCACAAGCATCCCAAAATGTGTTTCAATCATGTTCATGCATACCCAAATGGGCATAGGTATGAATTCTTGAAGTGGCTATAGGTCAAGATCAGATACACTAGTTACAGTAGCCCAACATTTTATGGATTTTATGGAGGATGGTGTAGCAACAACAGAATCTGCGGGACCACGGGCCGAAAAATTTGACCCTTCCAATCCTACCATGGTTTCAGACCCAACTTTCAGCCATGGCGAAATATCCATGGATTGACCATGGCTGGGAGAAGCCCACTGAGGAACTGCTCTCCGCCCGTTTGGAAGCAGCCTCCGCCTCCTGAGCTCACCAAAGGTGCCAGGATGCTGACCTTTAATGGCATTTAATGGGATCTATATTGAGTGTACTGTATATATATATACGAGTCCGGGGGGTAACTTGCCCCAAAATCTATGAACTTACCCCACCGCATGGCACACCGCTTACCCCACGACCCCAAGAACTTACGCCATGTGCAAATCACCATGGCACACTGGCCCTCACGGACAGGTTTTTGGATTGGTGTGTTATTTTCCTAAGGGATTTGGTACATTTTACATCAGTTCGTAAATTCTTTGACCTCACCCCAAATGTCAAGGAACGCATGGCACACCTACAAATTGTTTTCTATCACCCCAAGTTCTCAGATGTAATTCCCATTGTCGGAACAACATATTTAATCTCTAAGAATGTCATCCATGATGGTTTTCCCCATTGGCACACCGAGTACATCCAAGTACTCAGGTAACAGTTTTCTTTTCTGCAGCCGATCACTTTGCCGATCCAGGTATGTGCACATTGTTTTCATGAAGTTCCTATGCGGACTGCAACGCTTTGTACCGTTTATCTGTCTTAAACCTGACACAAAGCGTTGTAAACCGCATGGCACACCATCAACTTGACCTCTAGAAGACCAGGAGTTCTACATGTCATTCTCATTGCGTTATTTTACGAGATCCTTACGAGGTCTTTACGAGATCTGTACGAGATCTGGATTTTGCAAGGCAAGGCAGCAGGGCAAGGCAGCAGGGCAAGGCAGCAGGGATCTTTTCTACTCTTCCCTTCTCTGCTCTAGGCCTCTCTAATCACTTCCACTCTTCAATTCGATTCTCTTCTCTACTCTTCTGTATATAGTCTCTTCTACTCTACTCTTCTCTTCTACTGTTCTCTCTTCTGTGCGAGTCAAGCTATTGAGAAGCCATCCCCATGAGTTTCTATCTCAAGAAGAATATGTCTCAAAAACATGTGTGCCCCTGTAAAGTGTTAGAAAAATCAATGCCACAAACAATTGATTCATCCAGCAAGAATGACATGTATATCATGGACTTCCCAACGGCACACCGTTTGCGGCACAAGAAGATGACCGCGGCATAAGTTACCACTTTGACCCAGTATATATATATAGTATATAATTAATGAAATTGATGGGAGTTAATAACCAGTGTTCAAAACCCTGTGTCGTCCCTTCATACTGCTTGGTTGATAGGGATTCTCCTAATGAATTGTGATATCCCCCAATATATTGGCTAGTATAATGCCGCATTAATCACCAACGAACCGGCGTTTTGAACACTGCTGCATAATGGAATTTAACGGGATTTGATGGAAATGACCCTTGGGTAATCAAGCCTGGCATGTCTCCATCAAAATCCGACCACTTTTGTCAAAAAAACGGCGCTGTTTGTCAGCGTTTATTTAGAGTGCAAATGTCTTCGGCCATTTTGGGGGTATCCATGGGTATCCTATTTTGAGATAAACGTATGCAACAATTGGTAGCTTCCCTAAAAAAAACATAGCATGGGAGACCTTCATCCAAAATGGGTCATTGTTTTAAGGGGAACCAGTCCTGGTTTTCGGGTACCCCACATGCAGCCCCTTAAAACATCCCATGTCCCGAGGCGCCTGGTTAGGTTGTGCCTCTGCGGCTGACCCCTGCGCAAGAGAAAGATCAGCATCTCCCCAGACCTGAAGAAAAGAAAAGAAGACATAGAACTCATAGAACACACAGTTTTGTGGGAATTGGACAAGACCTAAACAAGTGGAGCTTGAAGATATGTTAGCAAAGTTATGGATTCCTATTCCATAGTGCTCAATTGGAATGCTCACCACGACATGCCAAGTTGTGTATGAAGTTGACTTGCAAGTCCATATGTTCACATAATTAAATGCCAAAAAAAAGAGATTCCCCTTGTGCTTTCCTTATGAAGCTTGAAGATTCAGGGACCCACAGAGTTTGATTAATTATTATTTCTGGTACTGAACCATCCTTTTTGCATGCGTCAATGTACACAATGCCTTGAAAAACAGCCCCCTTTGGCCATCTTCCATCACTCCCAAATGATCCTGCTGGTGCTCCAATATGCCAAACATCTACCAACATCTACCCCAAACATGCCCTGTATTTGTAGTAGTGCAATGTATTACACCATCCATCAGTGGGTCTCAAAATGGTGGATAATTATCGATAAAATGATTGAGCATAACGACAAGTTTAATGCAACATATGAATAGCGGACAAAATTACTTGTTCATGTTCATGCCATGCACAAATGAGGGTCGTTCCCTATCGGTTGTGAGGATTCTGCGTTCTCGGACTTTGAGGTTCATATGATGACTACACATGAGAGGTTTGGGGGTCCAAATGTTCAAACATGTTCAAACAACTCCACATAGAGCATACTTGCAGGTGCCGACTGGGCTATTTTCATGAGTATAATATGGTATAACGGTATAATCATGATGATAAGATGTATAAATTGGATTAAATTATTGGGATATGTAGGCCCCTATAACCCATGATTATAAAGTATACTTGAGAGGGGGGGGACGAAAGGTAGGGGGGGAAAAGGCAGGAGGGAGAGGCAAGAGAAGGTGCGACTGTTTGTAACGCAAGCACGCCGACGACGACGACAACGACTACTACGACTACTACGACTACTACTACTACGACTACTACTACTACTACTACTACTACTACTACTTTTACTACTACTACTACTACGACTACTACTACTACTACGACTACTACTACTACGACGACGACGACTACGACTACGACTACTGCTACTACTACTATGAGGACTACTACTACTACTACTACTACTACTACTACTACTACTATGAGGACTACTACTACTACTATGAGGACTACTACTACTACGACGACGACTACTACTACTACTACGACGACGACTACTTCTACTACTATGACTACTACTACTATGACGACGACTACTACTACTACTACGACGACTACTACTACTACTACTACTACTACCACGGCTACTACTACTACGACGACGACTACTACTACTACTGCTACTACTACTACTACTGCTACTACTATTACTATTACTATTACTTCTACTACTACGACTGCTACTACTACTACTACTACCACTACTACCACTACCACTACCACTACCACTACCACTACCACTACCACTACCACTACCACCACCACCACTACCACTACCACTACCACTACCACTACCACTACCACTACCACTACCACTACGACTACTACTACTACTACTACTACTACGCCCAGGCCCGTTACACTTTACATTCAATTGAGAAGATCAACAAGGGTATTAGGGAATATTAAACTCCCACCCCTGTTAAACTTTACATTGAATTGGGAAGATCAACAAGGGTATTAGGGAATATTAAACTCCCACCCCCGTTAAACTTTGCATTCAATTGGGAAGATCAACAAGGGTATTAGGGAATATTAAACTCCCACCCCGGTTAAACTTTACATTCAATTGCGAAGATCAACAAGCGGATTCATGACTTCGTGGAAATTGCGTTGAAGAGTTTGCCGATTTCTAACGTTAGATGTATAAGGTAGGCATTTTGGACAAGAATCGGTTGGAAAGAAACTTTTGGAGTTTGAAAAGCTCACCCAAGCAGCTGGAATGTTTGTGTGCTTGTTGTTGGTGAATCGTTATTCTTGTAGGTATACCGTGTTGTCAGCACGCGGACTCGTTGGACGGGCCTCCAGGGAGTCGACTGAGCTAGTTGTTGACGCTGTGGAGGCGCTTCCGCCACGACTACATAAAGTATCGTTTTTTTGTTCTGTACAATGACGTTCCGAACTCCGAATACGTGGACCCGGTGGAGGGGCCTCCAAAGGGTCAACCAAGTGAGGGGTTGACTCTGTGGAGGCTCTCCCACCGGATCCACAGAAACT